ATATGATTATTTATTTTACTTATATAATTTTATATGATTAAATAATGCACCAAAGAACATAGAATAATAACATGGAAAAAACAGACAATGTTCCATAACTATCACAATTTTTTTGGATTTCTAACTGTTTCCTGGGTCTTGGGAACAAAACTTGTACTAAAAGAGAAATTGACAATTCTCTGTTAAGAAAACAACATAATATGATAGATGAAAACCTTGACTTTCTATTGTGTATAGATAATATACTATTAAACTTAAGGGAGAACTATTAACAAATCCTGAAAGAGAGGATGTGACAGGTGGGTGTGGCAAGAGGTGTCTGATTTTCTATTTGATAACTCTGTAACCAAAGAAGATTGAAGGCAATAAAAATTACGTTTTGTCTAATAGTTGATGATTTGTTAGTGAGTAATTTACATTATATTTCATAATTACTGGAGGGGTGGTTAGAGAAAAATGTCGCATTTCTCCCACTAGTGGAAATTCGGGATTTTTTTTTTATGTTGCATTATAAAATTAAGAACTTAAAACGTATATACTATATTACTATATGCTATATTAATTGGCATAACATAAACAAAAAGTAGTTTAATTAAATTTTAATGTTAGTCACTAAAAATCTTGTGACAAGCACAGTAAAGGATACCCTTTTGCAAAAGGGTTAATGTTCACAAAATTTTCCAAGCTTATAGTAAACATTACAAGTCTTGTGCACAGAAAATTGGATTTTTTAAAGTTAATTATTTGTATTAAATATTTGTCTGTGAATTTGTGGAGTCGGAGTGTAACTTGTTTGAGTGTAAGGTGATTTTCATGTGAAGATGATTAAAAATACTTTTTTCATCTTGCAGTTTTCATATTTGATTTATAACCTTTTCAGTGAATATCCAAGTTGTTGTTTTTTCGAGTAAAACTTGGTTATTTTCTCTACCATAACACTATATGAACTTAACCCATTTTATTTATCTTCTAACCACCATAAATCTACATTACCCTTTTTTCGTTTTTACAATGACTGCAGATTGTAACAGAACATTAGTTAATAATCCTAAATAATATCAATCTTGTAATAGTTTAAATCTGTTTTTATTTTAATTTTATTGTTCTTTGAACCATTTTTAACTACTAAACTTATGAAACAAACTATAAAATACACAAAAGACCGCTCAAATTATGCAAGAGTATACCTTGCAGAGAAATTGTATTATTGTTATTTTTTTATTTGTATATTTTTATCTATTCTATCAAGTTTCTAATTTTTACATTTAGGTTACTTTTTTAATGAATAAGAAAAATATATAATAATAATAAAAAACAAGAAATTTAGTATTTACATGTTATGTAACTTAATAATAGTATTAGTAAACAAAACATTTATTTATTTTTAATAAATGTACTTGACTATTATAACTTAACTGGCTTTCTAACAAGGGTATAAGTGCCTTAAAACAATCCGTTAGCTGGTGGAACTGAGCTAGACAACAGGAGAGAATTATTGATATTTTTTTAAAAACAGAATGTGATAGTAAGGCATCACATGTTGGTTGGAATTTTTGGTTTATATATGAATAAAACAATATTGGAGACTGTAATAGTGATATTATATCTTAGCAATATCTAATATAAATTTGTATTTTGCATTAAAACTTAGAAGTTCAAATAGGGTTAGTAAATTAAGAAATTTAGTGAAGGAAATGTCATGTGATAAAGAAAGGTGAAGATTCAGAATTTATTCAAATATTACCAGTTCATGAGATAAAACACTTCATGAAAAACTGTGAAAGTTTGAACACATTAACCCTCTGGACAGAGATGGGTCAAATTGCATGTCACATTTTAGAGAACAATATTCCAAACTTCAACATTTGTCAATAAACTTGGCATTAAGATGTAGTTTATAATTCAAATTTTAATATTACATAAATTTTAATTTCTTCTTAACTTTGTGATAATAAATTTTACAGTTTAGATTTTTAGTAGTATTTATGTTAAGAGATTTGTTTAGCATCATATACTAGATGTTAATTGTTAGAAATTTAAGTTTTCGTTATTTTTTGTTAAAACTGAATTTTTGATTTGCTTTCTATGTATGTTACAACATAAATTTTATATTTTCCAGCTAAACCAAGACTTCTTGAATCACCTCGTCCAAAAGTTGTTGCACAAGTTAATGAGTCAATACAACTCCCATGTGAAGCATATGTTAGTGATATTCTAGACCTGGCTTACATTTGGTTACATAATGAACTGCGTATTGACTTTAAAGAGAGGCCAACAATAACTGTGGTAAGAATGAAAATACACAAACCTATAAATTTACCTTACCTGTATTATTAATAACACTTGTAAATAAAAATTGTTTTCTTGTAAGAAACTGTTTCTGTTAAAAGTATTTGTGAAACCTTTAACATTGTTTAAAAGTGGTTTTAAGACAACTGTTTCTTTTGCATGTTTTTTCAGATTTAAATCTTAAATTCTCATCTTCTTGCCTAATAGCATTCACTAAACAATTAACCCTATGTTCATGGGGTTGGTTAAAATTTGAACTACCCCATAGTTGTGAAGCTATAACGATGTTTAATTTAATTCTGAATTAGTGTATTTCACCAAATTTAGCAAGCTTTTAGTAAATAAGTCCATTGTATGCAGAAAATCAGATTTTTTAATGAAGTATTTTTATCAAAGATATGTTTGTGATGTCTGAGTCCAAGGTTATTTTCATGCTAAGAATAAAAATACATTTTTTTGATCCTACAGTTTTCGTCTTCACATGATCTTTAGAGCCCCGTAATTGAATGTCAAAAGTTTTGCTTTTTTCGTGGTAAAACAATATCTTATCTCTTATTTTCTGTGTCCTTATACTAAATTTAGCAAATCATCAGTTACAATGAAATTAAAATTCTGATACGGTACATTACCTCTCCTCACATGTATAGCTATTCTTGTTCAGTGCTGCCCTCTGTATGCAAACATTTTTTGGCATGCCACAAGCCTTGAACTCCCACGTACCCACGATCAACATGATTCAACTGTGTAAATCATGTGACAACCTTCCACCAATTGGAGTGCGACACACCCTCCTGATGCATGACTTTCTCTACATGATTTTACAAAGTTATCACTTCTTTTTAGGCAATGATCAAGTGCAGATGTTTTTCAATTGTGCTTTTTTTACATGTTAATTTCTGTTTTTCTGTAGTAGTTTGCCACAATGACTTTCCTTTGTTTATTGGTTTTTCTTATCTTTGACTTCTTCACATTTGATCCTTTAGTCATTTGGTTACTCGTTTTTCTCACTCTGATACCATGGCTTCTCTCATAACTGTTTCTTGTCCTGCAAACTCCTGTCCTTTACCTGTTCCTACTACTAGGAGATCGAAATTTTTCCATGTGTCTCAAAGTCAGATTCATTTTCGCCAGCAGTGACTTTCAGATGGTTTCTGGTGCAGTGAGGTCACGTTTGGTTGATTTTGTTCTCCTGTGGTGGTTATTCACTACCAATTCTTGGGTGTTCCATGTTTTGTCAGAAGGATTTTTCCTTTCCCTTTCTTCTCCAGTAGCAATTTCCTTCCCATTAACTCCAGATTCAGTTACCTGTCTTGAGTCTGTCCAAGGTTGGGCTGATAGCTATCAAGCTTGTCAGCCAACCTTCTCCAGGTTTTTGCCCTGTGATCCATCTGCTCTTCATCAGCCAATTTCTGGTTCTTTCCCAATTTCCCATGGAGTCCTTTATCACACTCAAGTGGGTTTTTTCTCCAGTATTATGGATGACCTAAGGTAGACATCTCAAATGTCTCTCTCCATATTCATATTTCTCATCAGTCTAGATTCTATCTTTGGTTTGTCACTATGGGGTTGTGTATCAATTTCGTGCCTGGTCTCTTAGGTTTGCTTCAGCATCGTATGTTTTTTATTGGGTTGTCGTGGCTTTTGCCCATTTTCTGCTTGCTTTAGGATTGTGTTTACACCACTAAATGGATGACTGGCTCCTGTTAGTTCATTCAGAATTGGAGCCTTTTCAACATACATCTGCTACTGTCAGTAACAGCTTATGTCGATTGGATTCTAAGGTTTGTGATATCTTATTTTGCCTACCCACTATCATATCCACTTGGGTGTATTATTCCACACACTCTCATTCGGGTCCATCCCTCTCCATTTTTTCTCCATTCAATAGTGTTTTTCAGTTCTCCATGCATTTACTGGTTCCTCTGTTTCTGCACAAAAGTTTCTGTCACTTTTGAGGACTTGGGCTTCTATGGAAGCCCTTATTCCTTTGGGTCAGATACATATGAGCTCTTTTTAGAGATCCCTATGGAATCTTGCTCAGGATCCCTTGTACTCCCTAATTATCTTCCCTTACTGACTATCTGCTCTGAGGATAATGAACCAGAAACCAAGAAAGAGGAAACTTGGTGTTGGAGTAAGGAGGCAAAAGCATCCAGATGAGGAGTACCCCACTAATTGTATAGCCACCTGAAAATCCAAGGGTCAAGAAACCACTCTGTGGGATAAACCTGGTTGGGACATGAAAAACAATCTGCCAGAAGGTGAAGAGCACAAAGGGAACATGAACGAGTGCCCCCACATTGATTGAAATAGCCCACAATGGTGGAATTGTAAAAAAAAAGCAAGACATATTGGTACTGTACCAGTGGAAGAAACTGAACCAAAGCATGTCGTAACACCACAATCTCCATGACGTTGAAACGTTGAGACATTACAATCTGAGACCATTACCCAGAATCCTCTTGCTGATTGACAACACTCCCCATCCTTTGAGAGAAGCATCTATAAATTGATGCAAATCCAAACGAAGTGGAGGAAGCAGTACTCCCTTCATTGTGCTGTCTTCGTTCAACCACCAATCCCTGCAGTGATTTTCTCAGTCAGAACTCGACCAGCTGGTTCCACTTACATTCCTTCCAGATTCATTGATCTCCTCATTGTGTGGTTATTTTGGATTGATTGTTTCCTATTCAAAACTTCAGCAGCTTGTAAGGGTCATTCTTCCTTCTCGATATTTTCTCTTCCATCCATTTTCCACCTTTATTCCCAGTCTGTTCCAGATAGACTTCTATGTCCAGTATGTGATTTTTTCATCCATTGTCCATATGGCCTCCTTTAATGGTTTCCATTTCTGCCTTTTCATTACCTGGTCCTGTTCATCTGTTTTTGACCTTTCTTCTTCTACCCTTATGATTTGGGATCATCATCTGCTTCTATTGGTATATTCCTCTGTCTTTTTCTTCCAGAATTCTGTTCCAGGTGTCTTCACTTAAGATCAGGCATGTGACCTACTCCTCATACCTTCATCTCCAATTATTTTCATTGGGTAGCTGTTTCTAACTCATTGGGGTACCACATTCTACCTTCAAACTTTGGTGCAACTGTGACTGGGTAAATTATGTTTTCTATATATATTTTTCCCTCCAGTGGCATGTCCCATTTAGAATTCAGATCCTGCTCAGTGACGAGGATTGCATGTCCAGGTATACTTTCTATATCTGAAATGCACACTGTATAGCCAAACAATATACCCATGGCAAATAATGCACACTGCTAAGATGGGGTGTTCCACAAGATTGCTAGTAGGTTTTTTGAGTTATATTTGCTTCATTAATATGCCCATTCTGGACCATACTAACCCATAGAAGGAGACAGCTGTCCATCCCTGCTGTCATTTTGATTGAGTAAATCAGGGGTAGGTTGCTTTTGAATATATAGGGTTGTTGTGGTCACCTGTTGCACTGTCTCCAGTATTGGCATTCCTTGGGACTCTATGTGTTTGCTTTCATTCAGTAGAGATTAGGGCTGTGGTATTCTGTTGGTGTAGATGGTAAGTGATTCTCCAATGATGCCCTCCACCTCTGTGCAGTGGGTCCAAAAGGTTGATGTTGTGGCCAGCTTCTGTACAGTTTTATACAGAGGGTGAGGTTGCTTATATTTTCTAGATGTGATCCACTTCTGTGTAATGGGACCCGGAGAGTGATGTTGTGCTCCAACTTCTGTGCTGTCTTATACAGAGGATGATGTTGCACATGTCTACAAGTAAATATGCTCCACCTTTGTGTAGTGAGTCCTGGAGATTGATGTTGCATGCAGCTTCTCTGCAGTTCTATCCAGAGGGTGAGGTTGCTTATATTTTATGGATGCAATCCACGTCTGTGTGGTGGGACCCGGAGCTTGCTATTATTTTCCACCCTTTTTTGCAGTCCTATCTGAAGGATGATGATGTTACTTTGGAGTAGATCTGTCATGTTGCAGTTCACCCCTTTGACTAGGATTCCTTATCCTACCATCATATGAATGTCTGTTCCCAGTGAGTGGTTTTGGATTAGAGCTGGACCAATCAACAGAAATCCTCACACAATTTCCTTCCTCACTCAATTTTCCTTAGGATCTCCACCTTCGTGCAGTGGGTCCCAGAGGATGACGTTGATTACGGTGATAGTTATTCATCTTGAGCTCCATCTAGTTTTGTTTTCACTCCCTGAGGCTGATGTTGCACAATGGGGTGACAGTCTGATTGTGTTTGATGTGACCTGCCACATGGGCACATCTCTTCCTATCATCATTTAGATGTCAGGTTCCGGGATGTGTAGGCGGCTGTGGATTTGAACTCTTTTGTAGATTGTTTTGAACAGTATATCCTTCCATTTTACTTAAATCGAGGTCTTAGACCATGGGTCTTAGGCTCTATTCCCGATACCACTTGGTTTTGAACTGAAGCTGACCAGCCACCTATGGTCTGTTGCAACCTAGCCACTGTACACCTTAGAGCACTTCCATTTTAGCTTTCCCCACATTCCTGTCTGTAGGTGGTTCTTCTATAGTCTTTCTCCTTTGGAACTGACCTTCCGATATACTATGATTTGGATTCATACCCAACTGGTTGTCTCTCCCTTTTTGGTTGTCCTACACCTATTTCCACACTGGATGCATAGTATATCTGGCACAGAATTGGTGTGGTCTCCCATGTGTGTTCCTCGAACACTTTTGAAGGATATTTATTTTATATCCCCCAAACCAGTCTCTCATTGTGGGATTATAGCTATACATGTAAGTGGAAGTAATGTGCTGTACCAGAAGTTATTATTTTCCTATACTAGAAATATATTTCTGATAGTTATTTACTTTCCACCCTTCCTCCCCACTGAAAACTGGAGCTTTTCTTTTTTTGCCTAATCTTGAAGTTATAATTCGGTAGGATCGAATAGAGGGAGTCACATGCATCAGGAAGGTGTGTTGCACTTCTTTTGGTGGAGGGTTGTTGCATGATGATTTACATGTGAGACACAATTGAACCATGTTGATTGTGGGGTATGTGAGAGTTCAAGGCTTGTGGCATGTGAAAATATTCTTGCATATAGAGGGCAGCACTGAACAATAATAGCTATACATGTGACTAGAGGTAAGTACCTATCAGAAATATACTTTCAGTTGAAAAATATGGAATAAAATGAATAATACTATTTTTACCTCATCACTTACTTCAGTATTGATCAGAAAGACCCAATTTCATAATCTTAACAACTTAAGCTTCTAACTTTTTCACATCTGCTTTCTTTTAGTGTTGTCCCCCTGGTGGGACAGTAGTAAGTATACGGACTTAAAGTGCTAAAATCAGGGGTTTGATTCCCCATGGAGGACACAGCCCAATGTGGCTTTGCTTTAAAACAAACAAACAATCTTTTAGTGTTGCAGTTTTATTGCTATAATTTCAAATTACTACTTTAAATAAAAAGCAATAAATCCCAGATGAGACCATTAGCTGTTTCCTGTTGATACGAGTATCAGGTTTTACACTGGTGTTCGAGCTAGTGTAATTTTAGACACTGTATTTTCCTGAAGTTTTGTTATGCTGAGCTGGAAAGATTTAGATTTGTAGTGCTCACTATGTACTTGATGCACTTTGCTCAAGTAGACATTCTTCTGTAAGCCTTGTTGAGTCTCATAAATTTGGGTGTCTGAAAATAATTGATAATACAGTTTAATTAAATTTTGAATGTAACATTGTAATAAGTCATCAAACGCACAAATGATCCAGGCCAGATGCAGAGGGTTTAAATAAGTTTTCATGCATTTATAATAACTTATTTCCTGAGCTATGGAATATTATATTACTATATTTCTTATTCTTAGAGCTATACTTCTGTATCTTTAAAATTAGCCATAGTTTTACAATAGTATATCCATTTTGGGACTGATCTTATATAAGGTCATTCACAGAAATTGTATATCTACATTTAAATATAATCTTTTTCAGTAGCTTTGTGCTATAAAATGATGTAGAACTGATACTAAAACATTATACAATGGTTATATAGTCAGTGTTATAAATAAAAAAATTCCACAAAAATCTAAGTTTTGTTCTTGTAATCCCTTTAGGCACCTGAATTCCATACTATGCCATATTTCTTTTTTTTTCTTTCTAAAGATGCCTTGGCTTACGTTGTTGTCTACCAATAAATTATTTAGTATTATAATAACATAATGTAAAGGCAGTGTAGCTATAATTTTATTGGTTGAATTCATATGCTCTTAACAAACTGGCTTGTATCTGAGGTTTGAAAATGCCTGTCTTATGTTGTTGTCTACCAATAAATTATTTAGTATTATAATAACATAACGTAAAGGCAGTGTAGCTATAATTTTATTGGTTGAATTCATATGCTCTTAACAAACTGGCTTGTATCTGAGGTTTGAAAATGCCTTCCACTTAAAAAACCATTGTGAATGGAAGCTGCTTAGCTTCAAAACAATACAAATAACATGACAGTTATTCCTTAAAGCATATTTCTATACAAATTCTGATACAACTATTCAGGGTTAGCAAATAAATAGGCCTATAGATTTGTGTAACTGTTTTAGCAGGCAAGAAAAAAACAAATACTAAAAGAAGATAAAGAAAAGTATTTTAATGAATATAAAACAATTTAAACTTGATTGAATACATAAAATGGAAGGTTTAGATCAATAATAATATTAAATTTTCAGTTTTACTTACACTATTATATTTTTTTAGTTTCTTTCATTGTGTATATCAGTGTTTATAAGTGAATTTTATATGATTTTGCTAAAATAAATATATTTATATTGAAATCGAAACCTTAGTAGGTTTAAAGCATATAATGAAAAAAATTTGAAGCCAAAGAGGAACGTATTTTTTATTGCTTGAAAAGAAGTTTTTAGCAGAATATCAAAAGCTAGAAATTTATACAAGTAATAAGTATAATTAAGTTTTTTATTACACAGAACTAAACATTCCATAGAAATTTTGTTTTAAGTTTTGTGTATTAAATAGGTTTATATAGTATGTTTGTAGTATGTTATTATAATAAAAGTTTCATTTTAGAACCATTGGAACTCCATCAAAAGTGGAGAATCTTGTCTCTGCAGTTTCATTTTAATGCTCTTTTTTTTTCTTTTTTTTTTATTAGATTCATATTGATAAATTATCTTGCAGGGAAGTCAGCCTGGGATTCTCAGGATCCACAATATCAGTCTTGCTGATGCAGGAATTTACCACTGTTTGGCTAAGACATCTGTTGGAAAGATAATGTCATCTACAGAACTTCTGGTCATAGGTATAACCTTTTGATTTTAATTTTACATTGACATACTATTCTCACAGTAAAGACACACAAACCTAAAAAATTATGGGCAACATACATAAGTTATACTATTTTCTTTTGTTTTAATACTTTCATAAATGCTTTTTCAGTTTTCCCTTAACAAAGTACAAAGAATTTTCCTATGAAATCCATGCATTTTATTGTATTTCAACTGGTTATTTATGTTTACTAATTTATAGCTAAAGATGAAAACAAAACTAATTACTAATTGACAAACTCAACAATTTACCTTTAACCCTCTCTCCGCAGACATTTTTTTTTTCTGTCATGAGGTTTTAGTGAGTTGCATTCAAAATTTAATTAAACTTTCTTTTCATGATATACCATAAAAACGTAGATAATAATCCACATTTTACTATGTAAATTTTAAGTTCTTAATTCTATAGGGCAATATTAAAAAAAACACCTAGAATTTCCCCTAGTGTGAGAATTGTAACATTTGCTCTCTAGGCATCCTCTCTTCTCTATTTTATTTACCACCCCTCCAAGAAGTGTGAAATTTAATGTCAATTACCTATTATATATCATCATTGCTCAGGCAAAGCATAATTTTCATAGCCTTCAATCTTCTTTGGATACAGAGCCATGAAATAGACAACCAGACCCCTTTTGCCATTTCCACCTGTCACATCCTCTCTTTCAGAAATTGCCAATAGTTCTGTATACCATTCAATACTATATTATTTATAACCAATAGAGAACCATGGTTTCATCAGTCAAAAGATTTATTATTTTACTTTGTTTTCTGTAAAGTTTGATTCCGATGAGAAACTCATTGATGAGTTAGGTGAAATTTTAATGGCTCTTGTCACATAGTTTGGAAGCCAGAGAAATTGTGATAGTTATAGGACAATGTTTGCTTTTTGGACATTATTATTCTGTGTTCTTTGGTGCATTATTTAATAAATAAAAAATTATTCAGTGCAGTGCTACAATTAAACAGTCGACAGCACAAAAAAAAGAAGATTCAGGTAAGTACTTTTTCTTGTTTTTCATGTGTATTCTTTATCTATAATTATAAAAGTAACTAAAATGTAAAAATAGGAAACTTTTTATGTTAGTTGAGGTTAATTAGGTGAAATAAATAATAATAGTGCAATAAACATTTTCACAAGGTACACTCGCAAGTAGCTCGTGTGTAATATAATTTGATAGCGTAACGTGAACTGCACATTTGTCAAGTGATTTACAACTTATAATGGTGCGAATAAACAATTAATCAGAGTTCAAAGGGGAAAAAACAATAAAATATAAGTATAAATAGATGTAAACTGTTGTGAGTGTAAAGCTATTTAAGATAAATGTAGTTTCACAGTACAATTTGAAGTCATTATAGAAAGAAAAAAAGGGTAATTCAGATTTATTTCAGTCAAATTGACAAACCTTGTATAAAGTTAGGGTAGAAAAAATACTATATAAAATATAGTTTTACTGACAAAAAACGTTTGAAATTTGTTTAGTAGGTTTTAGAGATTTCAGAAATAAAATGAGATTTTTAAGACGAAGAAAAGTATTTTTAATCTTAATATGGAAATCACTTATTGCTACTGGTATATAGAAATACTATATATACTCACGGATAATTATCGACTAAAAAATGTTCATTAAAAAATCAGATTTCTTGTGTACAAAAGACTTATAATGTTAACTAAAAGTCTGCCAAATTTTGTGAAGATACACAAAGTGTGTTAGAAGTTATAGTATGAAAACTATAATGAGTATGAAATGGTTATGAGGTCAGTCAGTTTAACCCACTTCATCACGAGAGAGTGAAGAGCAACATATTTTTAGGCAGACCACTGTATTTTCTAAATTGAAATTGTTTTTTTTTTATCTTCCTTTTATTCATAATGATACAATAAAATGATACTGTGACAGTATTGTTATATTACCTTATCCTCTTCTCCTGTATTACTGTAATAAATTTCATACTGTTACGTAAAAATTTGTTTAAGTATACAGATGTGTATTAAATTGTTGGATGAATCTGTGATGTAATTAATATGAGTATCTATAAATATTAGATACTGAATTATGTTCATAGAAATTAAAGGGTATCAACTTATTATATATAACCATAAGTTACACTTGTTGAATTAATAGATATAAGGAGTAAATCTGGGTGATTATAAGAATTCACCCATGGCCATCCTCCTATACTATGCATGTCACAAGGTTTTTAGTAAGCTATATTCAAAATTTAATTGAACTACTTTTTGTTTATGTTATACCAATTAGTATAGCAAAAAATTGTAGCTAATAATCCATATTTTAATAGTATATAACTTTTAAGTTCTTAATTTTATATAGCAACATGTTATTATTGTATGTTCTTTGGTGTATTATTTAATTAAATAAAAATTATTTAGTGCACTATGGGACATTGTCTGCTTTTTGCATGTTATTATCCTATGTTTGGTGCATTATTTAATTAAATAAAAATTATTTAGTGGACTACTACCATTGTTATATAAAAAGTGAAGTTAAGTGTCACTGACAGCAAATAAAAAGAAGGCCCAGATAAATATTTTATTTCTTGTTTTTCATGTGTATTCTTTATTATTAGAAAACTAACTTAAATGTAAAAATAGGAAACTATTTAGGTTAGTTATGGTTTATTGGGTAAAATAAATAATATAATAAACAATTTTCACGAGGCACATGCAAGCAGCTCGGAGTAACTTGTGAGTAATGTAATTCAATAGTGTAACATGAGCCACATGTTCCCCAAGTGATTTACAACTTATATTGGCACAAATAGTAGTTAGACCTGGTTCTAAGGACAATAAAATTTAAATATAAATAGATGTATACTGATACGAGTTTAAAGTTACTTAGAATAAACAAATGTAGTTTCATGTTACGATTTGAAGTAATTCTCAAAAGTAAGAAAGAGTAATTTAGATTTATTTTGTTTTTGTTTATTTTTTTGCGGTTATGAGGTCGGTCAAATTGACCAACCTTGTAGAGAAAATAACAGACAAAATATAAAGTTTTAATAAAAAACGTTTGGAATGTATTTAAGAGGTTTTAGAGATTATGCAAATGAAATTTGAGATTATAGAGATGAAGAAAACTATTTTTAATCTTAACATAAAAATCACTTTGCATGAGGACTAGTAAAAAAAAGTCTTGATATATTCACGGACAAATTTTTTTTAGTGTATTAAAAGTGCCTCACTAAAAAATCTGATTTTTTGTATGTAAAAGAATTGTAATGTCTACTGAAAGTCTGCAAAGATACACTTACTATATTAAAAGTTGGTAGTGTCAAAATTATAATGACTAAACGAGTATAAACTGGGCATATGGTCAGTCATTTTAACCGAGCCCATGTAAAGAGAGTTAATGAGACCTGGTATAACCAGAAACAATCATTTTGATCAGTTGATTATATTTCTGAGTTATGACTGTAGCAAATCATCAGTGTACATTGAAATGAAAAGTTGGAAAATATGGCTGCGTATTGTAAAAGACAATTCCAAATTACTTATCTTAACAGCTTCAGCTTCTAACGTTTTCACATCTGCTATCTTTTAATTTTATGATTTTATTGCTATTCTTTGGACCCACTACTACATGTGAAAAGCAATAAATCATGGTGGGAGCCCATTAGCTGTTTCTTGTTAGGCTTAATGTAAGCAAAGCATGATCTAATGTGATATTTCACACATGGGAAAACAACTAGTGTAATTGAGTTTTATTTTATAGAAGTCTTGTTCAGCTAATTTGAGAAGTTCTTTTGTTAAAAAATATATAACAATAAATAAATAATATACATGAAAAACAAGATATCTAGTACTTAATGAGAATTAAGGAACTTTTGTTTTTGCAAGTCAATCTTCATTAAGCCTTATTTTTTTTCACAAATGTGGCTATCCAAAATAGAATTCATCTAGGTTTCAAATATTCATATTAGAAAGTAAACTATAAATAGGTTAAAAAAATTCTTTACTGTCTTTTGCTATAAGATTTAAAAGGACGGTTGTAAGCTTGATAAAGAGGAAATCTTTTTCTCTTTATGCATTACAGATATATCCCTCAGCTTTTTAAAGTTGATTAGGAAAACAATTTGGAAAGAGAGAAAGAAAGGGGAGGGGCTTCCTGGTGGGTTTGACAAACTTATTGATATCTTAGCTATCTAAGAAGGTAGGAGGCTGCAAGTTTAGAATCTTGCTTATAATTATGTCTAACTAATTGGTTGGAAAGTACAGCAGCCCATTTTAAGAGTTAGAAAACTCTGAAGTGTAGAATTTGGAATTTAGATGCATCTCTTGACAGAAAAATGAAGATAGGGAATTTTTTGAATATTTCTTTTTGAAATTAAGAAAATTAAAACTTAGAGACTATAAAAATGTGAATTATAAACTATGTTTTGGTGTCAAGTTTATTGGCATACATTGGCAATAAGGTTGTTTAATTAAATTTCAAGCTTAACTTTGTAAAAGGCTATGATATACGTGCTTTGACCCAGCTACTGCAATAGGGTTTAGCTGAACAATTGTGAATTAATCAAAAATAGTAACAGCAATATTTTGTTTATGTGCGTAGTTGGAATAATATTAACTTTCTCAACATGGGCTGGTCAATTTGATCGACTATATAACCTCTTTGTATTTGTTCAAAAGCTTTATAGATTTGATACTACTAACTTTTAATATATTGTGCATATCCTCAAAAAATTTGGCAGTCTTTCACATACAAAAAAATCATATTTTTTTAATGAAGTATTTTTAAAAAACTAAAAAAAGATTTGTCCTTGAATATTTTAAGTATTTGTTGTGAATAGTCCATGTACCATGATTTTCATGTTAAAATTAAAAATACTTTTCTTCATCTCAAAATTCTCAAATTTCCTTTGTGTAATCACTAAAACCTCCTAAATACATTTCAAACGTTTTTTTTATATTTTATCTGTTATTTTTCCTACCCTAACTATACAAGGTTGGTCAAGTTGACCGACCTCGTAACCACCAAAATAAGAAAATCTAAATTACTCTTTTTTTTCTTCTAGAATGAATAGTGATTAATTTACATTGAATTTCATACTTATTGAAGAGGTGGTGGATAAAATAGAGAAGATACCTAGAGAAAATGTGTCGTACTAGGACAAATAAAGGATTTCTTAAAATATTGTTTTATACAATTAAGAACTTAAAACTTATATACTATTAAAAGATGGATTGTTACCAAAGATTTTATGCTATACTAATTGGTATAACATAAACAAGAAGTGGTTTAATAAATTTTTGAATGTAAGACACTAAAACCTTGTGTCATATGCAGTAAAGGATACCCATGGTGATAGGGTTAAACAGTGACAATTAGAGACATAAGTTTCATTTGGTTGATTATCATGACATTAATTGATTTAATCAAAATTTCAATTAATGAACTGACCCCCAGTGGCACAGTGGTATGTCTGCGGACTTACAACGCTAGAAATCGGGTTTCGATAGCCGTTGTGGGCAGAGCACAGATAGCCCATTGTGTAGCTTTGTGCTCAATTCCAAAAAAACAAATTAATGAACTATTTTATATGACATTAGTTGATGTTATGGATACTTATAGGTATTTGGGTTAATTGCATAGCTCTAATAATAAGTCATTTTTTTATCTCTGTCACCTTCAGGTGACAGAGGTAATGTTTTCACCCATGTGTGTGTGTGTGTGTTTGTCAGCAGGATTTCTTGGAAATGGTTGAATGGATTTGAACAAAAGTTGGTGTACATTTGAACTATGACCTGTCTTAGAAGTGATTACTTTTTGAGGGTCAGTGTCAAAAGTCAAGGTCTCAGTAAGGTGCACATAAATCCAAAAACTCTGTTCCTGTTAATGGGAGAACCAATTTCTTATACTGTTTTTGCTCTGTAACTCAGTCAAGAATGATCAGATTTTGATGAAACTTGGTGGACATATGTATAATATTATTCCTCATTGTCATGCCAAAAATTGTCCATGTCTATTGATAATGGGAGACATGTGGACACATTTTTGTATTTTTTCCACTAATAAACCAGAGGGGCACCCAGTAGAGCACATACTTCTACCACTAATAAACCAGAGGGGCACCCAGTAGAGCACATACTTCTACCATGCAGCACTGATAATGTTCAGTCCTCTAGAAGTATGTGCTCTACTGGGTGCCCCTCTGGTTTATTAGTGGTAGAAGTATGTGCTCTACTGGGTGCCCCTCTGGTTTATTAGTGAAATTGTGTTTTTTGTGCTAGATGATAAAAGTATAGACACTAGAATATTTTCTTGTATTGAATGTGTGATTATCTGTATCAGTGTAAACCAAAGCTTGCAAACGTCCATGATAATTTTTCACCTATTGAACCATTGTAGTCTTGAGATTTTATGTCCTTGGAACACAGTTGGCTGATACATCAACTGTTATTTGTGATAAACAGATTAGGGGTTGATCTTTTGCAACCGTTGTTCAGTATGGTTTAATATGAATCACAGCTATTTTGATGTAACAGTTATAATAAACGTAGGTGGTTGATTAGATGATATTCTGCAATATAAAACTTGCATAAATAAGACATTGAAGTTTAGACAATAATTTGTGTATTTTTAAGAGTGGAACCAAAGAGATGGTTTCATTGTTTATATGGGATTGTAGTTTTCTTGAAACATTTTGATAAACAACTGTATTTACCAGCATTTGATAATGAGTTTGTTTTGCAAAGAATTTTGGATACTTACTAGAGACCAAATACACTCTTGTCCACATTTACATGAAAGATGTTATTTATGTTTTCAAAATTTTAGTTGAACATGCACAGGGAAAAGTAGCTCAGTTTTAAATTATGTAATATCTTCTAAGATAGCTCAGTTTTAAATTATGTAATATCTTCTAAGGTAGCCCAGTTTTAAATTATGTAATATCTTCTAAGGTAGCCCAGTTTTAAATTATGTAATATCTTCTAAGGTAGCTCAGTTTTAAATTATGTAATATCTTCTTAAAATTCAGTAAAATATTTCCTTACCATATGTAGCTTCAGATAACTGTCACTAGTCTTAACAACTGTATATGTTCCAGGTCCACCAGGAGCACCAGGTGCTGTGCTAGTTGAAGATCTGACTGCTACATCTGGACGGGTTCAATGGGCTGATGGTTCAAATAATGGAAGGCGAATTCTCACTTACTCTGTGGAAGGCAGAACCAATCATGACAGTGCCTGGGTACTGCTGGCAAGCAGTAGGTTTCAAGTGCAGTGCACAATTTAATGACTTTAATTTTAATGCATGAATATATGCATATAGATAGTAGTTATGTACAATTGTATTTTTTGATTCCATAGGTAGATAAGGTTTAATATTCTAGATGCAAATCAGTTCTGAAGAAGTGTAATAAAGTGGTCTGATTGTTATTTTAGATATCACAACTTGGGAAAGGCTTCAAGGCAGTGACAGAAAAGAATATCACATGAAAGATGTCCTCTCACCTTGGAGTACATATGAATTTCGAGTTTTAGCTACAAACAAACTAGGAGAAGGACCTCCAAGTCTGCCAAGTCCACAGTACAATACCAAAATGGATAAGCCTCATGTATCTCCTTATGATGTTGGAGGCGGAGGTGGCAATACTGGAAGTCTCACCATTACCTGGCATGTAGGGAAATATAATTCATATTTAAACAAGATTCTATGTTGTTAATGTTTCCAGAATATGTGAAATAGTCAGAATTGTTAATAAGATGTGCAGTTTGTGTTGAAGATATGAAAGAAAAAATAGTTTCAAAATGTTTTAGCTCACTTGAAATTATAAATGCAGGAAAACTGAAAGGATTGGATACATTTATTTGAATTTATGAATCATTTAGCAGTAGCCATTTAAAAAAATTTAAATCTTATTATGTACTTCCTTCAACTTAACATGAACTAAACTGAGAACACTAGTATTTTTGTTATCTTATTGAGAGCCTTGAATAGGTTTTATCATATTTGTTTATATATTAAGTAAAACTTGGAAAGTGTCCATTATTTTAGGAAAGAAGAATCTGGTGGTAAAGTATGAGGCTTTATCTTAGTTTCAAAAAGGCTGTGTTTTTATAGAGTTAATCAACCGTCTATATTTTAAAATCCACCCTGTCCCTGTCATACCTTAAGTGCAGTTCAGAGTACTTACGTATGTATCATGTGTTTCATCCTGGGGGAAAAGTTACATAATGGCCCTTTGCAATGTAGGTTGTTTGCATTCCCAGATTATCAGGCCATTGGCTATATTTATGAACATGGGATAACAAACAGGATCATCAAGGTAGCCCAGAAGGAACACTTTTCCCAATGGCAGACATGGAAGGTAGTGCATAAAGTGAAGTCAATTCTTTAACACACAAAGAAGAATTCACCAAAATAAAGCATGCAGCCAAATTAGTACTTGCCTACATTTCCAAGATGGAGGAAGAAGCCAGAATTTTTGTGAATCCATATAGTGAGATACTTTAAAGCCATCATATGTATTATCAGTTCAGACTCCTTAAATGTGCAGTAAGAAAGAGACAACTTTGCAGAAAATGGGGGGGGGGCTATGGAAAGCTTTAAGTAGATGTGGGCTACTGTACCTTATGCCACATTGCAATGAATATCCTATAGTGAAAACTGAAGGGTTGGGCAAATGCCCGGCATTGTTACCACAGATGTTAGTGACAACAGGAATTTACCTGAACTTAGCTCGTGTTCATATCGTTCTTACAAACATGAAGAATTAACTCTCCATATTTTGTCCTATAATAATCATTGCAGTTATTATTCTATTAATAAGTTTTTATGTTTTCAGCCTCTTCCACCCCAACAATGGAATGCTCCCCACATATGGTATAAAGTGTATTATAAACCAGCAGATTCTGATATTGAATATCGAGTTAAAGACCTCAGAGAGCTTGGAAATATTGGCTTATATGCTGTTCAAGTGGGTGAAGAAAATTTCTACAAACCATATCATGTTAAAGTTCAAGCTCTCAATTCACAAGGCGCTGGTCCAGAAAGTCCTGTAGTTAAAGTCTATTCTGCAGAGAGCAGTAAGTACTTCATAAACCAACTCTTTTTTTTACTCCCAACTCTATACTAATATTATCAAAGGCATTTCTACATGTTGATAAAATTAGGAACTTTAGTTATGAATTAGGGTTTATTTAAGATTTAATTACCATTTAGGGAACATGTAAAATCCAACATTTACTTTATTTATTTACGTAATGGTAGATACTTATGTATCATTTGATAGTAAGTACTACTTTACTTTATTTATTTATGTAATGGTAGATACTTATGTATCATTTGAAAGTAAGTACTACTTTACTTTATTTATTTATGTAATGGTAGATACTTATGTATCATTTGAAAGTAAGTATTAAAATGTATTTTTTGATAATATATGTAGAGATTTTTGTGGGGTGAAAATGTTATGTTTTTTATTTTATTTTTTATTTAATACTGTTTGTAAAAGCTCATTTAATGGTGTCAAATTTAGCTGTTTTACTTACAATATATGTAGTAAAATTGCATTCTTAAATTTAAGTTTCTGATTGTTGCAAGTGAATTAAAACTTTAGTTTCACTAAATAATAATAATATAGGTTTTCATACTTTGTAATTACTTGACGTGCTGGCATTATATTAATATAATACTTTATATAAAAAAAAATGTAGTTATAATGGGATTACTATAAATTATTTTAATTCCTTCTCTAGTGCCACAGGTCCAACCAAGCCAAGTTAAGGCTTTACCTTTCAACTCAACAGCTCTGAATGTGTCATGGGCTCCAATAGATCATACAAGGGAGAAACTGAGAGGCAAATTAATAGGCTACAGAGTAAGTTAGTTTTAACACATAAATAAAGTAAAATCCATTATAATAGTAGTTTACAAGGTTACTGTGCTAAAATCTGGGGGTTTGATTCCTTATGGTTGACAGATATGCCATTCTGTAGCTTAGCACTAAAAAATAAACATATAACAGTAACATTTGCCTTGACGGTAATTTGTGTAATATATATATATTTAAAATTTTTTAAATAAATTAACCATATGCTTTCTGGCTGGGTCACAAGGTGTGTGTGTCATGACCTTTTACAGTTATATTCAAGATTTAATTAACCCTTTGGATGCAGCTGCTTGAAATGCATTGCATACAGCACACTCGCATTCAACTGCTGGAAGCGGACCGTACCCTATATGATAAATCAGCAGTCAGTGGGTTAAACAACATTACTATCAATATTATGGTAATAAACATGGCATCATAGTTTATAATTCAAATTTTAATTACTGAATTTAAAAGAAAATATTTAAATAAATTCTCAATATTCACTGTGTTTTCACTCGGAATTCTCCTTTATAATTTTTCTCTCTTCCCTAATATGGCTTTCAGACTGTCCAACCAATTAGAAACACAGATAATGGCTGGCAAGAATATAAAATGTTAACATCCTACTTTCTTGACTTGCTGTCAATAAATTTGTCAAATCCACCTTTCATCTTATCGTAGGTTTGTTATCTAAATCATATGTTGTTATTTGATTTACATTTTTATAACTAATAGAGAGAGCAATTTTTCTTCTACAAAACTTTATCATGGTCATTTTCTTTTGGTGTACATAAGTAAACAGTTGGCCTTAGGTTTGTAGTCTGTGGTCATTGTTGTTTAACTTCAAGCAGTTTATGTAATTTATTAACCTGTTTATAGCATAGTTAGAAAGTCAGTTAAGTTATAGTCGTTTTGGGATATTCTAATACCTATATATATGTTTCATGTTCTAAAATGCATATTTGAACAGTATATTAATTTTTATTTAAACAACTAATGTAGTGAGAAAAAAAAAGTTACTGTACAAAGGATATGCCATAAGTGTTAAATTTCTTATTTTTTTAACAAAAGTAACCGAAGTGTAAAAACTAGCTACTTCTTAAGTTAGGTAATAAAAGATAAAATGTTAAATAATCATTGGCTCAATCAGACTGAAGTCAAGCTCATGGTTAGTGTGTTAATATAACCTGAACATTTGCTTACTCTAAGCCAGGAATATCGAGAGCCAGCACGGTCCAGGGCAAACATCCTCGCCGGGCCTCCTTTCTCTCTCTCCCTTTTTTATCATTTTCAAAAATTTATTAAAAAGAAGATCCTAAATTAGGACAGCAACGAGCTCATAAACCAGACAAAATCATAGCAGCAGCCGTTTTTACCTCACAGTATAAGCGTAAAAACGTAACGTAAAGTAACAACAAATATCTATTAAATCTATAAAGTAACAAATAGATATTAATTATTACTCAGATTATTATTTCAGTCGTTTTTAATGTATCAAGCATCTATATGCAAAGAAAAGCCTAAAACTATGGTTTTTATCATTAAATGAAGATATAAACTAAAGATGCTTTGAGGGCTTTACGACATAACCAGGTTTCAATCGCCCGGGTCCCTGGGCAGTTGCCGCCCCACCCCCCCAGTCAGCAGGCCTGCTCTAAGCTCTGTAGTAAACATTCCTATGTGGTTTATCACTTTTTACACAGAGAGAATGTTCAAAAGTATAGTATTAAAACCATAAAATTAAAAGAAAGCAGATGTGAAAAGGTTAGAAGCTGAGGTTGTTAGTATGAATAATAGTAATTCTCTCTTGCGATCGTCAGTAATTCTAGAAAATAACGGCATTATTCATCTTATTTCAGGTTTTAATTTCTCTTATGTTGGTGATTTTGCTACAGTTAGTATGAGGGTAGAGAAAATAGGTTTTGAGGTCTTAGAGGTTATGCAAATGAAATATGAAGATTGTAAGATGAAGTATTTTTTAATTCTTAGCATGAAAATCACATTTCACTCAGATCAATTCAATAAAGGCTTCATAAATCACAGACAAATCTTTATTAAAAATCAGATTTATTGTTTACAACAGACTTGTAATGTTTGTTAAAAGCTTAACAAATTTCATGAAGATACACATATTACATTCAGTGTTATGTTATGTGTAGTTTCACAATTACATGGTAGTTACAAGGTTGGCCGAAGTGACTGAGCCTGAATGCATATGATTATTAAGAGTTCTCCCATAGGCTAACAAATGGCAAAGTTGATTATCTTTAGCCCTACAGACCACTTTATAGGAATGAAGATTTAGTTTAGATTTTTGAAACATACAGTTCAATAGAATATGTAAGTTTGCACAAATGTTACTAGTTCAAGAAAATTTAAATTAACTTTTCCGGGTTTTTAATACAAATGTAGAATTATAATAGTAAAATGATTATATTTTACAGTCAAATGATATTTATATTTTTTGTTTTTCCTTAGATAAAATATTGGAAGGAAAATGAAAACCCACAGAGAGATTCATTGACTTTGCTGAAGAGAGGACAAGAACCATGGGGTCTTATTGTGGGGCTGCAGCCTGACATGAAGTATTATGTGGCTGTAATGGCATATAATGATGCTGGTAGTGGTACAGAGAGTGAACCCTTTCTTGCAAGAACATTCAAAGCAGGCAAGTGTATTTCATATTAATTAAAATTATTACATAAGAGACTTTTGAATTTTTTGGAATTTTCAACTTCTTGTAAACAGTATGCTAATTTTTTTTTTAAATCTATATAAATATAATAGTACTGTCTGTTGTATGTCCATGTAACTACTTCGCAGGGTGTGGATGGATCTTCACCCAAATTGGTATGGAGGTTCATTAGGTCCATGTGAGGGTACATACAAATTTTCAGTTTTGCATTTTGTAATTTTTACCACTACCTTCTGTGGATGGATATTCACCAAATTTGGTATGGAGGTTCATTGGGTCCATGGGGAGATACTTAAAATTTTTCAGTTTTTCATTTAGTGTTTTTGATGGGCATTTTTGTATTTTTCACAATTACATATAAGGGAAGCAAAATTTCCTAAGATAACCTTTCATTAATCATGAATTTCTGAAAAACTGCACAGCCTGATCGAGTCCTTCCACTCCAACATGAAGGGGACTGTGCAGTTAAAAGGTAGTCTCTCTGAGCCCTTTGAAATACGCAGTGGCGTCAAACAAGGCTGTGTGCTCGCCCCCACTCTTTTTGGGATCTTATTCAGCCTCCTCCTGAGATATGCAATCGGTTCAGCACAAGAAGGGATATATCTTCGGACTAGATCAGATGGTAGACTCTTCAATCTTGCACGCCTGAATGCGAGGACAAAGGTTCGTGAAGTACTCGTTAGGGACATGCTGTTTGCTGACGACGCTGCAGTTGCGACTCACACCGAACGGGAACTGCAACTGCTGATGGACCGCTTCTCGCAGGCCTGCCAAGAATTCGGACTAACCATCAGCCTGAAGAAGACGAATGTCCTGAGCCAGAACACACTGGCACCACCAGTCAGAGAGGCTGTCAGTAATGGTAGAGCCAAGGTAGATAAACTGGTGAACGACATCGAGCTCATAGTCATCGATATTGAACTTGATGCTGAGATCGACAGGAGGATTGGAAAGGCAACCACGATACTTGCTCGCCTTACGCCAAAAGTGTGGACAAACTCTAAGCTGACCGTGAAGACGAAGATGTCTGTGTACAGTGCCTGTGTTCTCAGCACCCTTCTATATGGCAGCGAAACGTGGACTACTTATGCCAGCCAAGAGAAAAGACTGAATACCTTCCACCTCAGAACCCTACAACGCATACTTGGTATCTCCTGGCAAGACAAGGTAACTAACACCGATGTCTTGTCTCGTACGAACCAATCTACCATGTACACTCTGTTATGACAGTGCCAGTTGCGCTGGATAGGCCACGTGCGCCGTATGAAGGATGGCCGAATCCCAAAAGACATCCTCTACGGAGAGCTTGCCAAAGGACAGAGAGGCATCGGCCGCCGCAGCTGAGATACAAGGATATTTGCAAAAAAGACATGAAGGTGCTCAACATCAACACCGAAACTTGGGAGGACCTCGCTTCCGATCGCGCCTACTGGAGAAACACTCTCCGTAAATAGCTGAAGATCGGTGAAGAGGAATTGACGATGGCAGCAGAAGAGAAGCGAACGCATCAAAAGGAACAGGCAGCCAACAGACCAGCGTCAACGCACATATGTGACCTCTGCAACCGGGACTGTCACTCTCGTGTCGGTCTCCTTACTCACAAGAGACGCTGCTCTAGACGAGTGATCAACATGAGCTAACAATGGAGGGATGCTCATCCATGGTCAAACCTAGCCGAAGGAGGCCTACATGTATAGTATCTTCTTGTTATGTTCTAGTGTAGGTCGTGATCATTAGATTATATGTACAAATAAAATAAGGATTCATATGTAATACATAGTTTGACCATTCATTGTATAAAATTCCGAATGTTGCGTGATTACTCACCTGATATATAATTTGTATAGTGAAAGAAATTCCAAACGACACGTATGACTCCCTAATATACTGCACTACAGACACAGTTACTGAATGTTCTCAAAAGAAAACAAAGTTGTAAAGAACGTGCCCATCGTGTGCAAAGATATTTGGAGAATACATCTATCATCTCAGACAACAGTGTTTTTGTGTTAAAGTTTTGTGTGTGAATTTCTTCATTTTTTTTATAGAGGACTGGTGACGTCACCAAGTTGAGTTTTAATACTTGTCCCCGATACCCAGGTTTTAAAAACGTCGCTAGATCTGGTGTCCCTTGCTAGATAAATCGATCAGTTTGTCATTTTTAATCGGAACGTTTTGCACAAAGCGTTTTTTGTACAAGAAGTGTCTGGTGGGTATCACGAGTTGTGGCAAAGGTTTAACGTCGTATCATTGAGACGCCCCGTACTGCCACCAGGTTTGGTCAGAACTCTTATGTAACTAACTTCTTGAGTTGTGGCAATAGTTTAACGTCGTATCATTGAGACGCTCCGTACTGCCACCAGGTTTGGTCAGAACTCTTATGTAACTAACTTCTTGAGTTGTGGCAAAGGTTTAACGTCGTATCATTGAGACGCCCCGTACTGCCACCAGGTTTGGTCAGAACTCTTATGTAACTAACTTCTTGAGTTGTGGCAAAGGTTTAACGTCGTATCATTGAGACGCTCCGTACTGCCACCAGGTTTGGTCAGAACACTTATGTAACTAACTTCTTGAGTTGTGGCAAAGGTTTAACGTCGTATCATTGAGTTGCTCCGTACTGCCATCAGGTTTGGTCAGAACTCTTATGTAACTAACTTCTTACCTGATTATTCCAGGCAGGTCATATAACTGTTTTCATTACTTTACATAAACAACACTGTCTTTACGTTTAATAAACTCTATACATTCAACTACATTTTTGAGAGGCTTAAGAAAGCCAATCTCACTGTAAATTTGGCAAAAAGTGACTTCTGTAGAACCAGAGCAGTTTACTTAGGTCATGTAGTAGGCTATGGTCAAGTTTCTCCAATTCAAGCCAAAGTTGATTGTATTGTAAATTATCCATCTTCTACGACCAAGAAAAGTTTGATGTGATTTTTGGGAATGGCCGGTTATTACAGGAAGTTTTGTAAAAATTTGGCTGACATCACTGTACCATTAATAATCCTTTTGAAGAAAAATAAAACGTTCAAATGGTCTGAAACATGTCAATCTGCTTTTGAAAAGGTCAAATCTTTGTTGTTCACTTACCCTGTATTGATGGCACCTGACTTTGATAATCCTTTCACATTAGCTATTGATGCCAGCTGGTGCTATTCTATTACAGTCAGACAACAAAGGTATTAAACACCCTGCTTATTATTTTTCTAAAAAGTTTAATTGTCACCAAAATAATTATTCGTCTGTAGAAAAAGAAACATTGGATCTAGTGTTAGCTTTAGAACATTTCAATGCTATAAACTTTGGTGGAAGCTTTACTGTAATTGTTATAACGTTTATCAATCGGAAAACTTCAGATATTTGACCAGGAGCATTACAAAGTTCGAACATTACAAATCATTTAACTTCAGTGGATTCTCATTCTCATTAGTAATTTTACGCAAACATTACCTAACATCACCGGTGGAAAAATCGGCGTGTGATCAGTGAAGGACAAAGCTAGCTAGCTTCCTGTTAAGCGAATCGTACCTACATCAACTCTAATTAACTCGCTCATCGTGAATCCTCGATAAGATATCAAGGAAGTTCCAGACTAAAATGAAGACTTTATATTACTTGTAAGTTTGTGAAACTTTTGTTCATAAATCATTGTTTGTAATAACTATTTGTAATAACTGTTATTGTAAATTGTATTATTGTGTGTATATTAAAACGTATTTGTGTTAAAAAAAAAAAGAAATCTGTGTGTATCAATCTTGTTGGCAAATATCATAAACTGATTGTATATCGGCTTTCACTTAATACTAAATCCAAAGTACAGTTTAACTACTTAATTTAAATTTATCAGTTAACCCGATTTCAGACCATTTGAAATTCTAATACGTAACAGTGTGCAAGATTGTGGATCTGAGATTCCACGGTTCGCACTCTGTTACCGTCGAGAAAAAAAAGCGACTGTCAAATCTCACTAATCATTTAGAATGGCTCACGAATTGGCGGTGGGTGATGTTTATATGCTGCCTTCTCTTATCACTTCAAATATAGGTATGACTATCTCAGAGAGGCCACAAGTAGCTTTCCGCGAAATTAAACAAACAACAACATTTTCGCGGACGTGGGAGTTAATCAACACTGAATGATACATGCTATTCCATTAATCCATTTCCCCCCTAAGTTAATCAACATAAAAAAGAATTAGACTCCAATTTATTTTAATTTTTTGTAATATTACAAAATAACAAGCCCCAAAACTCGGCTTTGCTCTAATGAAGGAGTTGTGTAACACTAAGTGCCATGTGTTATATGTGATTCGGTTACTTCAATCCTCTTCTCCCATAATCAGAAAATATTTCTTGAAATCTACTTTGTTTTTTTTATAATATCGAAAACGACTTTACCTGGATGCGGTAGTTAATTAACAGTTGAACAACAACCAAGAAATAATTACAAAGTATAATTAAATAAACAAACGAAAACCAAATCAAACATCATAACCAGATGACAATTTGTTAGTATTACATTGTCCAATTTTTGTAGCAT